TCAATGAAATCTTGCCTCTTCATGAAGGAAGTGTCACCCTCGAATGCTGTTTACAATCGAACTACACCACGTTCAAGTGATTCCTCACATCTTCTGTCCGTATTCCTGAACAGGTTGTTACCATCTGTGTCAGAGGGAACGCGAAGCAGCGGGAGGCAGGGGAGCTTATCTCCCTATCAAAGCTGTCCATAAAAGAGTATTTGTTCGCTACTTTGTTCTGTCTGGCGTAAAGTTCTTCTTCTGGTAACTGGTTATCCTTGTCCTCCTGGCGTTGACAACATTTGCATCCGGATGTCAGGCATGGTCTTCTTGAAAGGTTATCTGCCTTTCTGTGACTCTTTTCTTTTCGGTATCAAATTTCAAAATCATAAGTTTGTAACTGTTTGATCCACTTGGCTATTTATCCTTTTGTGTTTTTGAAGTTGAAGAGCCACCAACACCAAATCTATAAAGCGTTAAACTGTTGCGGATGCATCGCATAATCCGAACGGCATGAACTCAAACTGGTATGATCCATTGCCGCTGGAAAAGGCTGTCTTCTCTTTATCCTAGAAGCGAACGGCCACCTGCCAATATTCGCTTCTCAGCTCTAATGATGAGGACCATCTGCATTCAGCCAAGACGTTCAGGGTGCCATCTATTTTGGGAAGAGGATAACTGTCCTTTCTGGTGACATCATTGGGCCTTCTGTAGTCTACGCAGAATGTCGTCGATCCATCTTTCTTAGTCACCATCACAAAAGGTGACATCCAGGGGCTGCTTGATTTCTCGATTACTCTTCTCTTCAACATCTCCTCAACGATGGATGAATTTTCGCCCTGTTTTGCGAAGGGAGTTCGTCTCGGTGGTTGGCGTATGGGCTTGGCATTGCCAGTATCGATCCAATGTTGAACTAAATCCGTTCGAACAATGATTTTGCCCTCAACAAACATATCATTCTCTTCATATACGAATCGGGTGGTCTTGCATAGTTCTCCTTCAGACAGATGGCTCCACATCTTCTTGAAAGAGTCGATGAGTTCCTTTGCGGGTTGTTGAGCACGCTATAGAAGGTCTTCTTTCTCAATCTTCCTTAAGTCTTCCTTTTACAATCGGTTTGCAGGTGCCTATTACCTGCCCTTTCTTGAGAGTCACCCTGTCATTATTGGGGTTGATTATTCTTACTGGAATGGTGTGATTGTTAATGGTCAAGGAAATTCCTGCTTTAGAGCCGTTGGATGGCTCTATCAAAGCTGTGCCTAAGCCGCCAGCCGCCAGGTCCAGCAATTTCCGCTTGAATGTTTTTTTTGGTATTGGAAGAGATTCTGAAATTCTTCAGTATAACCACGTTGCTGCTGTCATAAGGCTGAGAGAGCACGTGGAGCATAATTTCCTCATTTCCGATTTTCAACAATTTGTTCCTCATGTCCACCCCAAGAACATGATGTCTAGTTCCAAAATTAATTCGTCGAAGATGTTGGCTGCTGATACCTTGGTTTCTATTTCTCAACGTCCAAGCCTAAGTCTCATTTCAGCTTCTCCATGGACTGTCAATCTATCTCCAGTGGCTGTTTCCAGAACGGGAACTATTGATAACTCTTTCAAACTGCTTCCATTGGAAAAGTCGGCTCTCGTTTCTGATCTCGTTGCTCCAGCATCGACGGTGGAAAAGCACTGATGATTATTCAGAAATTCGTGGACAACTAAGCTGTTACTGTTGCGTCCTATCGTGGAAATCGATTACCGAATCAACTATGTGAGTGTTTCAGCATGAAGAGTTCATAAAAGTTTGTTTTCCAAAGTGGGGTCTAATATTTAATAAAACGTCCAAATGTCATAAACGATTGTCTTTATGAAACTGAAAACAGAGAACATACATATACCATGTTGTCTCAAAAACTCAGTTCATCCAAATATTTTTGTCTTTAACCTCTCAAAGAATCAGTCTTTCATAAATAACTTGTTTATTTCTAGTAATTTTGTATAAATAGTCCAGTCAATGACGATTATCACGAACAATTTTCCCAAACAGTGCCACTGTTCATAAAAATTAGCTTATAGGTTTTACTAAGCCTCCGCTTCAAACTTGCATCCTCGTGTACCGGGGGATGCTTTCACCCCGTGGTGTATGCTCCCCCTTTCTGGAAGTGAAAAATGTTCTAAGCAAAGTTTCTTGTGTGAATATTTTTATGAAAGTCAGTATTTTTCGACTTATTCGCGAGTGAAAATTTTTCAACCAATTAAACTACGCTTTCAGTTCTCGAATAAATCAAAAAGTAAGTATTTTATAAAAAATAATCTCTAGTAAAAAAACAAAAACAGTCTTTGGTTTATAATGTCAGTAGATCCAAACACCAGAATTGATACGCAAAATATAATGTGTTTTCGTCAATGCTCCAATAAACGTACCATTAATCTTACAGTATTTGTAGATGACACGTTACTTGCATGATATGGAAATGACGCTGTAGAAACAGTTGAAACAGTTGAAAAAAATTGAAATATATTTAAACGAAAATAAAGTAAAAATTAATACGAATAAAACCAAATCAATGATAATTAGTAAGAAACATAAACTGAAATCAATTTACTATAAAAAGCTTCAACTCGAAGTGGAAGGTGAATGGGTGTCAGAATTCAAGTATTTAGGCTTCGTGTTGGAAGAATCGCTAACACTCAATGCACACTGTAACTATATTTCTAAAAAGATATCAAAAAAACTATTTTTTTTCTCCAGGATTTCATCGGAAGTTTCCATGTTTTCAAAAATAACAATATACAGAACCATTATACAGTCCCATTTTGATTATTGTTCTACTCTGCTTTATCTTTCAGATAAAAACAATATACAGAAGTTACAGAAATTGCAAAATCGAGGTTTAAGAATCATCTTAAAATGTAATAGATACACTCCTATTCAATGCATGCTGAGTGCCCCCAAGTGGTATGATGTGGCAAATAGACTGTATTACTCAAGTATGATATTTATTTATAAAATAACCAGAAATTTATTACCAAAATATTTTGATTCCTTCATTACGTACAATAATCAAATTCATGACTACAACACAAGAACCACCAATCAATTCCACATTTCCAGGACAAAAACAAAGCAATCTATGAAATCGTTGTTTTTCAGAGGATTTCAACCAATTACCTTACCACGTTAAAGATTCTGTTACTTTATATTCATTCAAGGTTCAGTTGAAAATATATATTACATCACGTACTCTATGAATTTTCTGATTTTTTTTATTTTTATGTTTCACATCATCGAATTGTTTTATTGGTTCGAGCTTTTATGTGTTCCGTATACATTATGTTACGTCGTTGCCACATTTTGATATGTTAAATAATTCATACCCACTCGAATAATTGTTTTTATGCACTATTATAATTGTAATATGGAACTAACTATTCTGAATACTCCTGATTTGTTCTGTGTCATGGGACAATATTCTCAGGAACACATTTCTATTTTCAGCTTTTAAGCTTCTTGTATTTATATATTATTTGATCGAATTTTTTTGTTAGAAGAATTTTTATACTATTTTAATGTTTTTTATATACCATTTTTACCTTTTTGGATTTGTATGTATACTAGGATTTCCTATTTTCAAATAAATAAATAAAATACAGTTTAAGAGTTTTTATGAGGAAAAAGCAATTCCTTGCAAAATTACACAAATGTTTTTTTTAAGTTGAGCATGAGTACCTCAAACCTGTCAAACATCTAGAGCATATAACAAGTATATGAATAAAGTGAATTGATAAGTGTTAACGAGTATTTTCAATTGGGGTTGTGATTAGGAAGTGATTTTCACATTTTTTTGGTTACTTCACGTTGACACCTTTGACGTTTGACTAATAAGAACAAACTTCAAATAAGATATTACCTCGTTTATCAGTTCTGTAGACACCATAAATCCGTCATTCTTTTAATTTTTGTATAAGATACAGTTTTATTCTGAATTACTTATTTGATAAAATAGTTACTTTTTGAATTATTCGCGAAGAACTGTATCAAAATGTGAGTTTATTGATTGAAAAATTAACTAAATTGAATCTGTATAAACTTTCTTAGTCAGATACGAAAGGAAAACAGTATTGAGACTGACATTCATAAACTGACTAGGTTCAAAGTTCTTGATTTTTTAGGAGAGGCAAAGAACGTTTTGAGTTGGTGTTGTTGTATAGTTTAGAATTAACTGATATTTTATAGAATCGTGATTACAGATATTTCTTTCTTTCAAGAGTTTATAGCACAATTTAATTGTAGCAACATTACGATTTACGTGGTTTTCTTCTGAGCATGCTCTGAATTGGTGGAATTCAAAAAATGAGAATAAATTTGAAATACATTTCATTTCAGATAAGGCTTTGACCATTCATTTTTTCATCAGATAGACAACCAGTTTACAACTTCCGATATAATTATATAATGTCAGAGTTTGACAAAAATCAACCCTAAAGAAGTAGAAAAGGCGACTGACCGTGTAATTGCACTTAGGTACTTGACAACACCTATGTTTTTTTTATAAATCCACCTCCAAGGGGCGAAAAGAGGTCAGGGCTGTCTCATGGTTCAAGAAAGCTCAAAACGACTTGATCGGTCGTGATCCGTAAGGTTTAAAGTTTTTTCCCAATATTTCTTTTAGGTTTTGAAAACTGGGACTAAATTCCGAAACATTGGAAGCTATGAAAAAGCTAAGTACTAAAATGTTATTTTTTCATTATCAGATTTTTCGAAGGATTATATTACGTAGCAAACTTTTCAGTTTACCATTTATTACCCTTCAGTAGATTCTCGGTTGTTCAATATTTATGCATTTTTTAGTTTTTTGTTGTCCTTTTTGAATCTGAACTAGAATTGAAGATTTGTGAAGTGAAGCATGAAAGTTTTGATTTAATATAATGTTAATTCAGCCTGGACTATAACGGAAATATGTCGAAGAAGATAATGCAAATCTCAATTATCGATTCCCCTGCCGTTTATTTTATAAATCGAAAACTGAGAGAATGTTCGTGAATTGATATTTTACCACGGTCAAGTCCAGTCGATCTTATATAAATTATGTATTATTTATTAATGTTGACGATCTTTCTGTTAATTTTATATCTGATTAGAGCTGTCAGGAAACCTAAGAATTTTCCGCCAGGTAAGTTACAAACAGTTTTCAGATTATCCTGTAAAAGAGAATTTCTAATAATGAGTTAAAATGTTGAAAATGAAACTAAAGAAATGATTTTGTAAAAATTATGAAAAAATCATTTTGTATTCAATATTTCATGGTCTTTCACAACTGAAAGCCTTGAAATTCTATAAGTAGGTATACTTTAAGGCATTAAGTTACATTATTTGAATTATTTTGAGAGGAATGATTGAATTTCCCAAGGCACTATTTGCTTCCCTGTTTCATAACATAATTCCATGTAAAACACTAGAGTAGTGTGAATAATATATTTATAAAATCACAAAAGGCTATATGAGATGGAAAATTTGCTGCTATCAAATGATTTCAATGGTCTCTCTCTATTTTTCCAACTGAATATTATGAGTGAAACTTTCTCTGATGTATTTTAGAACATTTTCAAAATTCCGACATGTTGAGCTTTCATTTTATGTTTTGAAAAATCTGAGCAGTAATTGTGAACACATGTTCTTTTCTACAGATACAAGTTTACAAGTGGTCTGAAATTTCTTATATTCAGTTAAAAAGTGCAGTTTCACATAATTTCAGTTTTTCTCCATCAAAAATTATGATTGAGGTGCCATTTTATTCGTAATATCACACAGAGTAATTCATCTGCGATTTGAGTCAAGTGGCGCTAACGGAATAATTATGAATAATTCAGTTGCACAATAAAAGGGGTACAATTTTTGCAAATATTTAATTCAGAAATCCTTGAACAGCATAAAATTCACTGAAACAATTTTTCTCTCTCGAAAATATAGCAAAAAATTCATAGTTTTGAATTACCGGTAAAAATAAGGTACGTGATACCCGATTCAGTTGATTCAACAAGAAACATATTTCAATCTGTTAAATATCAATATTCAGAAATAAAAAAAAATGTTCTTGATGGTGGTTGATTCAAAAACACTGCTTCGGCAATTTTCATCGCAATTTTCCTCCTAATTATGATCTTATTAATTATTGATATTTTCTCAAATGGAAGGTTTACATAAAATAAAGAAATAAATATTTCGAAATAAATTTCAAAATATTAATCTCTCCCAACTGCCTACACAGTAGAGAGTGTGGCAAAAGTTTACCACACACGTTTACCAGTATAAGTAGGATGTGGTAAACGTTTACCACACCCTACTTATACGTATGTATCTTTTCGATAGTTTTCACTTTTGATTTACATAAAATTCTCAATAATTGGATACATTTTTCATTAAAACACCTTCACTAGTCTCAGATTGACTTTTGATAGTAGTAAAAAGTTTGTCTAAGAAAAATATAGTCTTTTGACTAATAGAATCGACCCGTTTGGAAAATATTCAAACAAGGATAATATTAGTAGAGTAGTGGCAATTTCGTATCTCTTTACAAAAACACATTTATGGTATCAATAAAAACTCTAAAAGCGATATGTTGCAAAACCAAGCCTTGCTATCGACCTCTAAAGATGAAATCGCTTCCTTTTTTTGTGAAGCTTTTTCTATAAAACAGGTAACTTGATACCAGAACCCAAATCGTCACATCCATTAGAAGATGGCGCTGTTTCTTCGATTTGCCTTCAGTAATACTATCCCATAGATGGTATCTTCTATCATTTTTTTTTTTCAATTTGACTCTTCATATCAATTTCACTTCTATTTTTATCCCACCCAATATTATCAACGTATTTTCACCTTGGTTTCAAAACACAATGGAAGTCCACAATTATAATTTTCAATAAGAAACATTCCCAACCACATTCAAACGATTCAAAGAACTGGCGAAAATATCTATTTTCATTCGAAAATTGTAAAAAGTGTTATTTGCAAAACAAATATTTATGCCAACTTAATTAGAGGCTCTGATATTGTAGAAAACTCTTATTTTCACATTTGTTTACAACAGTCATTATCATATTATTTGTTGTTCAAACATTATTTAAAAACAAATCATTTTGAATATTGTTTGTTTGTCCTTTCTGTGCCATATCGCAAATTGGATAGGTTCGTTGCTCTTGTGTATCATCAGTTAATGAGAAAAATTAACTCTTATTTAAATTGATTGCGAAGAGATATTCTATATTTTTCAGTTTAGAAATACTTTGATTCGAAAATGAATAAACTACTTTGAATATGAGAAGACATTTTTTCAAAATGGCCTGGGAAAAAGTTTGTTAATGCAGATTGTTTCTCAAACATTGTTTATCATCAATTGTAACTGAGATCAAACCGTGTCTGAACACTATCGAGGAGAGATACATACGTACTAGAAAATAAACATTTCAAAATAAAATCACGAAATATTCATTTCTCCCAACTACCTACACCACAGGTCTGGTAAATGCATACCGGAAACAACTGCTTCCCCCGCTAATACCACTTTGTTGTCTGGGTCGAATCTATCCTGCAGTGATGAGAGGTAATACCTCCAAACCTCAATATCCAGCGTGATATTATCCAGGAAAGTAGTTAGGAGTGATAGATATTTAGAAATTTGATTTCAACTGGGAAAATTACTTGTTTCGGATCCAAATTTGATACCGTTCTTGAATCCCTGACGAATACTATCTTAGTGAAAATATTTGTATTTGGTCTTGAATAGATAAATTTCCAACATTTTCGAATTACCCTCAGAAGTTCTTCTGTCATGAGTTCTTCGCTATTCAGTAGTTTAGTGACTGATATAGAAAATTACTTCATTTTATAGTCTACTCATTCTACAACTATAATCCTGAATCAATATCACTCCTATACCAGAAGTGACAGAGGTAAATGTTTTTTTTTTCATATTTCTATTGATAATTAACAACATAACGGGGTTTAGAGAAATTTTTCACGGATTCATGGATTCCGTTTGGTGTGTACCAGAATGTACAAGAGTATCCAGTATGTAAATTTTATGTTTTGTTTCATATTTACCTACTCTACTATTTTGGTAGGTCCATTTTGGTTTCCAATAATTGGAAATGTATTCCAACTGAGGAAATTAACAGCAGCTTTAGGAGGGCAATATTTAGCGTTTTCCAAGTTGTCGGAAGATTATGAATCAAATGTGATTGGACTGAAATTGGGAGTGAATAAGGTGGTAGTAGTATTGTCATATGGCGCAGTAAAAAAAGTTCTTACTTCCGAAGAATACGATGGTAGGCCTGACAATTTTTTCATCAGACTTCGATCAATGGGAACCAGAAATGGTGAGTAGGGGTATCAAATATTTGGATTTGAACATTCTTAATTATTTAAGTTTAAGTCTTATCTATTTTTTCAATGTCAGTATTGCATGGGAGATATAAAATTTGGTAATGTTTTCTCAGAATCAATAGTAATAGAAAAAAATATATTTTCGAAGTATCAATGGACCCGCCGCAGGTGAAGTTTTTTCAGAAATCTATTGCTTTTTGCCGAAAATCTATTATTTTTCTAGACCAATTTACGTTGAATCGCCAATATCTAGATTCCTTTTGCAGCACATTGTTTTCTGAGTTGGTTGAAATATCCATTTGTTATTAGTACCAGTTGTCCCTTCAATTATTCCAAGCAACTGCTTTCAGATTATCTCAGTGAACAAACTGCAAATAAAACCCAAGAATGGAAAATACTATGGTCGGTCGGTAGCCGGGGGGTTCGACGTGGGTGCTTTGTTTACTCAGTCAATCGGCCGATGTGTGAGTCGATGGTTCAAGCCCGAGACTTAACGCTCGATTTTCACTTACTATCGTCCAACCCGTGTTAGGAATCACACGTTAGAAAGTGAGACTTTGTTAGTCCTAATCTCGCACAAATTTCGACTTTTGAGGGTTGTCGTTCGTAGGCGTGCGATAGCTGGTTAACGGAAAAAAAATTCAAACATATTTTTCTAAACTATCACCAGCAACACATCTTGCAATTGAACCTAATGGAAATCATATACAGTAACCAAGTTAAAAAATAAATTCAATTGAAATTGTGTCGTGCGGCTTATTAACTTATGGCCAGGAATTAATTTTAGCTGCGGATTTTATTGACTTTTGAAGAAAGTTTCTTCGTACCACATTTACACTTGTATTATTAAAAAAAATTGAAAGCTGATAAAAACATTTTTACAGTATTGTCTTACTGGAAAAGTTGATGTATGTCACTTACTAAATAACTGCTTTTCCGCATTAGTTAATTTATAAAAAAAATATAGATATATTTTTCCTTGGCTAGAGTATAGCCAAAGAGTTTTGTTATATTCAATACAATGTGCGAAGATTTTAATCAGAAACGAATTTCATATTCTCATTGCATCGTGACACAGAACACCGATAGATCATGTGTTCCGTGACCCTGAACAATAATGCTGTTTAACTTTTTTTTTTAAGTAAAACTTCTTTACTCGCGCTTGACTTGGAGAGTAAGCTGGTGAATGCGTGACGAGAGCGTTACGAAAAGTGTGATCTGGCGAACACACATTTACGGTCGAGTTGGTTCTAAAGAATTAGAAGAAAACTATCATATGCTGCGACTAATTTCAGCAGGAGATTTCAATGGTAATTTCGCGTCCGAAGATGGACAACCCTTGATAAACTTTCTACAAGATGAATTAGAACTACTAATGAATGATAATTGAAATGAGCCTACCACAAGACATGAAACAACAATCGATGCAGTTTTCTCTAGATGTCTTTCTAATTTTCTTTCGAAAACATATATGTATCTTATCTCTCATACCATAAGCTTATTGTCTCGGTCTTACAATCAACCACAGTAAATACTAATGTAATTCAAGAAGTTTTTATTTTGTAGAAACTCATATTAAATGGTCGAAGAAAATTAACGCCCTTCTCGAGTTATACTGGGAAAAAACAAAAATGCCGTTTTTCGTTTTTTTCGAATGGAATTGTTATTTCGGAGAATATAAAAAAATGGGAAAGAAAAATGTGTACTATGACGATGTAATAATAAATATTCAATAAAACGTTTCGTGTCAACATGGCCACCATCAACTTTTTTTTTAAATACGGACCTGTCTTTTTTATTACAGATATTGATAACGCAATAAATTCACAATCCAAAGCTTCATGGCAATCTACATTGAATGCTCGTATTGACGACCTCTTTGTTGGATGCACATAAGTTGTCGGTCCAGACAATTTCTGTGGCAATTTTCTAGCATAATAGGTGTAATACTAATACATGTATCTCTTAGTTTTTGTTTGGGATGATCGATATCTGTACTTGGTGTTGAAAAAACTTTATCCTTTATGGTATGACCCTTGTTTAGGTATAACTGGTACTGACGGAGAGCTCTGGAAAATCCAAAGACATTTTGTAACTCTTCATCTTCGCCAGCTTGGACTGGGTAAAAAACCTATGGAAAGTCATATTCAAGACGAAGTTTCTGAAATGTTAACGGTTCTGGAGAAAAACAAAAACAAAGAACTGGAAATTGAAACAATTATGCAGATTTCGGTGCTCAATGTATTATGGGTATTTATAGCTGGTTCCAGATTTCAAAGAAATCATGTTCGCCTCGTAGAACTATTGAAACTTTTGGATGAAAGAGGAAAAGCTTTCGATATAGCAGGTGGTGCGCTCAACCATATGCCCTGGTTGCGATTCCTGGCTCCAGAAAAAACATGTTATAATTTGGCACTGAAAGTTAACGATAAGTTCAAAGCGATGTTGATGGAACCTATTCGAGAACATTTTGAAACATGGACAGAAGGGCGAGACGATGACTTGATTCATTTTTTTATCACAGAAATGAGAAGAGTTCGGGATGAAGAAACGACATTTACAGGTATTTCGATAGTGTTTTTACATTTATTATTTTCTGTTATAAAAAGTGAAACACATTTTGATTTGAAAATTAGCCGGTGATAAACGCTTTAAAGCTATTTTCGGAGAGTGTTGGCCATTGACTGTAGATTTTGAAGCTTGACGTTTCGTCTACATACAACTACAGTACTCAGTGTTCTAGTTGTCCTCACAACGCATAAAGAATGTGCATAGAGTATGTGCTGTGTGGATATCTACAGCACTGTCTACCGCCTGAAGTCGAAATGTCAGACCGCAAAACATACAGACCATAGCCAATAAATCCGGAGGGTTGCTTCGACATTTTTTTAAATCACGTGAACCTTTTAAGTAAGGTTAATCTTGATGGAGCCGGTTTCTAGACGAAGGTTTGTTATGGCTGATATGATTCATCGGAAATGAAGTTTTTTTCGTAATATTGTCGATTGAGTTCGCGAAATAGATTTTCATTATTAAGATTTACGAAAAAAGTTTTATTTGTTGAAAAACATTTGCTCCAGAGAAACAGTCATGTTTCATTTGAAACACTTATATCTAAAAGGGTTAACAGTAAAATGAATTTTACTTACCCAAAAGTGAAAAAAAAAGGTTATTCAAGAAAAAAATTATGGAATTTTCAGTCAAATACACTTTCAAATATAAACAATACAATAAGTAATATAATTAAAATTTCTATGTTTTTCACCACTTTTAATTGTAACTAACGTTACTCTGCAGTTTCGTCCTATATGGACATTCTCAAACTGATACAATATTTGTATTAGTTTGAGAATGTCCATATAGGACGAAACTGCAGTAATAGTACGGGAGCTAGCAACGTTTGGAAAATAAGAATTTTAAAACAGTTGGTTTTTTGATATGCTGTCTTTCTTGCTCTTTCGGTTAGATTCCGAGGTGTCTGGCTGGCGGTAGTGGTTGCGTTTATTAATGCGCATCTTACCTGCACAGGTAAAAATCCTTAACTTTAAAAGAATATTTTAAAGCATAATTTTTAATTTTTTGCCTTTAGATTGATCCACCAGACATACATTTTTTATTGCCAGGCATTTTTATTGTTGTTAATTATGTGCCATACGCGATTTTTTATTTTATTTAAATAAAAAATTCAAAGGTCTGTAATTTTTATATTATGTTCTTTAAACATAAAATAATCTAAAATTAATTCGCCAGACGTTAATCCGATTGTTAAGTATTGAATATAAATAAAAAAGTAATGAAAATTATTGCGGTATAATGCTTGTGGTTAGAGAGAGACAGTTCAAAGTGCAAAAGAAACAGAAAGCGACGGCAGCGTATGGGCTAGTGTTAAAAAAAATTAAGAATAAGACAGGAAATAATTGCAAAAATATGTTACTTACAGTTGCTCTTGTAAATACAAGTTGGAATGACAAAAATTCAACATAAAAATGAAAATATAATCAAAATAAGCATAAATTGAAAAAAATGGAATAAAAACTATATCAAGGAAGGTTCAGAAATTACTTTTTTTAATTAAAAAAGTATTGATTACTACACGTGAATTACATTAAAATTCATTCAAATTCATTGAATTTCAAATTAAAATATCTCCAGTCTATAATAGTGTCACAAAAAAAGGAGGCATCTTCATAATCATCATCATCTTCCCTACCAATGTCAGAATTATTTATATCATCGTCTTGGGAATTGTTATTGTCTTCCAATATTCCATCATCTGTACCAAAAAAATTAAAATTCCTGTAACTGTTTTTGTTCGTTATATAATAATTCAGTTTTTATTGATTAATGTTCTATTAAATACTTACTTTGAATAATAACATCTGCAAAGGTGGAAGGTAATTGCTCTCCCACAAACCAGACAAAATCATATTTATCATCGTTGATGGTCCAACCGGAAGCAACTGGAGATAAAGATGTCGGATGTTAAGTGTGCATTTCTCCAGAACTTAGTCACATAGCGAACCCTTAATAAATGCTGGGACAATTCTGCTTTACAGGGTGGCAAACTGGATGAGTCGAAGTTTCGAATTTTTTTTCAAAGTTTTCATTGGATTTTTTAGACTGGAAAGTACTTGAGAATAGATGAAATCGAACATCATTAACATTTGAAGAATTTTTAACTCCATACATTTGACAAATAAACTTCTCAAGGGTTACAAAGGTAGTTTCAAGTATTTCTTCGTCATCCGAAATAATATTTTGAAAAGCTAGTTGATATTCGTTCGATTTTTCCAACATTTTGAAAGGCCTTACTTTGCCTTTTCTAAAAAATACTGGTGTGTAATCACACCCGGTGATTGCGTGGAAGCATGGCAAAGCTTTATATAAAGATTCCCCAAGTATTCGGTATATTTAATTGACGTGTATCGCTGATGATTTCCTACACCCATATCCATCCAGATTTTTAAAGATGATTTCAAGTGGTCCATATTTCCCAGAAGTATAATTGAAATATCATAGTCAGAACAGCATATAACAACTTCAGCATCAAAATCAATTTGATAAATATGAAAAATAATCCTAGAATCGGCTTCTTCGTGTTCTTCGCATGATAATGATTCTTCAGTAGTCTTCATTACTTTGTTATTTGAAACTTTGTAAAAATAACAATTATCGTAACTTACATAAATATTTTTATTTCCAATGAAAGGTACCATTTCTTCAATATCGCAGTGGTTTATAAAAAAGTTTACTAGAACTTCTTTAAATTGTGTATTTTCAAGCTCAGCTGTAAAATTATGTGGTCGAACTTGATTTGGACCAATTGATAGTGGACTGGTTGCTTCTTCTCGTCGTGAACATTCACAATCTTTGATAGAAGGCAAAAAATACTGGTCAAAGACAATGTCAATCCGAATAGATTCCATCTGGGCGATAGTAATCATAAACTGTTCAGATATGCTGTCATATGTTTGTGGTACATCTTTCATGAGATGCAACAAAAAGAAACCATCAACAAGACAAACATCAAAAGATTACGGTTGTTGATGTATAGTGTTGCCCAATTTTTTTTCAATAAGCTTGGCTAATTGTGATTTATCACTTTTACAAATTGAACCATCTGGGTGACATATTGATGTTGGGATCGGGGTAAGAGGAAATGTCAAAACTTTCTCAATGTGAACCTTGTGAGTCAGAGAAATTCCCAGCATTCTACTAAATAGATTTCTTTGCATTCGCAACCCAACAACTTTATTTCCTAAAGTCAACTTCTTTTTCTTTGGCACCTCAGCAAAATTAAAAACTTCATTTTTTGTTATTGGTTTATCAAATCTATTGTCATTTCCGACACATTCACTGATAAATTGTTTTCTCAAAGTCTCACCATTCTCTTCAATATTTAGTAAAAAATCAGCAACGTCAGGAGAAGCAGGCTTTGAAGTAGCAATGTTGTAGAGATTTCCTTTATCTAATTTGGGATCAAATGGATTGCAATTTTTTTCGATAATTTCAATAAAATCAGCAATTTGTTTTCCGTAGATTTTAATTCTATTTGGTTGTAATTCTGCCATAACAACTTAAGCCACAAACATCCAACACATGTGATATTAATGTTGCTCTTATGCTGTGGCTTTTTGCCCAGCGTTGACGTGCAGCTAAAGAATTAGTAAAGTGAGCAATTCCGCTCAGTCGTTTAGCTGCATCGGCATTTATTGTTTGTTCCAGTGCGAGATCTATTGGTATTCGTGAGAATGGCTTATCAGTTCTTTTGACTTCAAAACATCCTTTATTAAAATCATCTAGTAGTCCAGAGTGGGTTTCGTCAACATTATTTAAATTATCTCATTATTTTACACAATAACGAGCGTAGTTTGGTTGATTTACAATAAAAAATAAGTTCGCTATTTTTGGAATCACGTGTTTAAACATTTGAAAGTCACCCATACGTATACTTCTCGAAAGGTTTATGTAATAACTAATCAACTGGATATAGATCATGTAGAACTGTGCTGTTTTTCCATGGTTACCTTGCCTGGTCTTTGCTACGTACCTCTTGTAAGAATCGAGCAGTGGTGATAATATTTCTTTCGGTAATAAATCAGTGTCCGTTGACGATGAGAACGAAATTTTAATTTCTGATATTCTAAGAGATCTTCATAAATCTGTCCTTTTAGAAAATTGTATTCAGCATTCTTATTTTTCAAAAATTGATCAAAATGTAACATCTGTAAGCCTAATGATGTTAACGGATGCAGACGTTTGCAACGATTAAAGTGTTTACCGTCAATTATTCCATTTACAGACCCTGAGGCGATGATTTTACTCTCAATCATGATGTCCACATAGTCTACACTCATCGATGAAAGTACCGACAGCTTTAAAAAAAGCCAACATTAAATGAAATGATCCAAGAAGTATGAAAAGATTACTAAATCTGAGACCTTCTGTTGCTTGAATTTTATAAGCTATTTTAGGAATTGCTGAATCATATGTGACTTGTACATGAGCTTGACCACATTCTTTACCAAATTTTTGTGCTTGTTCCATTTTGAATACGGCCACTGACACATTTGTTGGTGATAAATTAATAGGGGTCAGATATGATACTTTCTGTTTTGGACTATTGTCTTCTATCATTCTGCAATTAAATCCTGTCCAAGGTGGTGTGTTTGGCAAGTGAAAAACATATGATAGCAAATATAACAGATCAATGGTTTGTAAACAAGAAACATTTTCAAGTGATGGTGATGATTGATCAATTTCGACTGATGTTAAGCGACCTGCCATCTTCAATCGCTTACCATAAGGCATTATGTCGGGAGTGAAACCTGTTATTAATCATTTTCTTTTTTTTGATGGTTCTGTTGGTGATGAATCTTCTGAATTAATATTATCTTGATTTAATTCACTATGGGAATTATCATCAATGTTTTGGTATATAATCCCCACAGTATCATGTAAAGTTTCTTTTCCATTTAAGGTATCAACGTATCTATCTAAATTGTCAAAAGCTATACCAGTACATAGTGAGGGATCTGAAATGGTGTCTGGAGGACAAACTTGGGTTCGATGTACTGATGAGATGGTTGCTTCTGTTTCCAATTCTTCTAGAGTAGTATAGTTACAGCAATGTCCAAATCGGTTTGAAATATCTATTATTTTTTTACTACTTGTTAGACTTTTTATAGTCATACCAAGAGTAATGTGTTTAGATGGTTTAACGGTACCATTACTAACACAAAAAATGGCATCAGCAGCCATTGAGGAACGCAATCTTCTACAATTTAGACCATCTCTGCGTCTAATATCTTTACCCCCAATAAATGCCTTGAAGAATCGATCTAACTTTTCAGGAAGCACGCATTCACCAGTAATTAAATCATTTGTTTTAATTTTTGATGGCAATTTTGATTTTTCAATTTTTAGAATGGTATTTCGTAAGATTGTCTGGATATAATTTTCATAGTTTTCTTGAAAAATGTTTGTATTTTCTCTTCAAGATAATGATTACTTATTGAACTTATCTTATCTGTCTGAGGCTGAAATTTCTGCTCATACCCCAAATCATTATTGTTCATATCTCAAAGAGATGATAGCGATACACAATTTCTATTCTTTACAACTTCTTCTTCTGTTGTCGATATAATATGATTGAAAATTTCTTAATGGATTTGACGATTTTTGTGCCATGAAGTACATGGAATGTCTGAAACTACTTTATTATACTCATTTGAATAATATAATACACACAAATGATGATAAAAAATCGGTCTATTTGCAGATTTTGAATCATTGATTTTTTGTAACAACACATCATTATTAAATTTCTCCATCCACTCAATGATTTTTTGATAAAGTTTTGCATCTTTTGATAAATAAAGATTTTGTTGTTTACCTTTGTTTTGTTTACGATCTTTGTTACAATAAACACAAATATTTTTGAATTCTCGACCTGCTTTAACATATTCAATATTTGTATCAGGATTATTATCACAAATGTAAGTTTCGTTAATGCTTGAATCACAAACTGAGCTGGAAGCAACATCTCCGAGCATTCTCTGAGTATCTAAACTTGAAGCTGCATCTTCTGAAGATACCTCACTGTCGAAACTAGAGTTAGGATGGCCTGACATACACTGATTACTCAAATTCTCAACAGCATATTATTTATATTATTTTTATTTAAACTCAGTTCAAGATCATCTGATGTTGTGTGATGAATTAAACTCGAAGCATTAACCTCACTTACGATTTCACTGTTTATGTTTCCCGCAATAGTTTCACTAACATTTGCTGGTGTATTTAATGGCAAAGTATGTGAAGTAGATTTACTGATACTATCTATTTCAGTCGATGGATCACGGTGTTTTGTCATTAAAGCTGTAAAACTGCTGCAACATTGTCTGTGATATCCATCTGTTTCAATTATTTCAATAGGCAACTCGATGTCACTGTACTTTAGTTTATATTTTAAACGTATATTCAAAACTTCCTGGCATTTCTTCAGTTTATCAACCACGAAAAGTATGATTTTATCCTCATGTCTTTTACTGAGAACACATTTCATTTTATCACTGGCCATTGTAACAAAATTAATAAATGAAGATCACAAATAATGTAAACACAAAACAAACATGTGACTTTAGACTGACACCATGTTGTACATTTGCCGATGCGCTGCCGTCGCTTTCTATCTGTCTTGCACTTCAAACTGTATCGCTCTAACCACAAGCATTATACCTCAATACTGTTCATTACTTTTTTATTTATATTCAATACTTAACAGTGGAATTAACGTTTGGCAAATAAATTTTAGATTATTTTATGTTTAAAGAACATAATACAAAAATTACAGACATTCAAAAATACTTTTAAAATTTTTTTTATTATGTGCGTATGGCACATAATTAACAACAATAAAAATGTTTGACAATTAAAAATTGATGTCTGGTGGATCAATCTAAAGGCAAAAAATTAAAAATTAAGCTTTGAAAAATTCTTTTGAAGTTAAGGATTTTTACATGTGCAGGTACGATGCGCATTAATAAACGCAACCACTACCGCCAGCCAGATAGTCCGGATTCTAACCGAAAAAGCAAGAAAGACAGCATATTAAAAAACCAACTGTTCTGAAATTGTCTCTCGAAATTTTCATTCCTCTTTTCATTATGATCTCCTACCACGTAGTAACGGCTACATCCATCAATTTAATAATATAACTCATTGAGCTTCCCACAATAGGGGCTTTTTCGGGACGCTACACTTGATTCACGAATGAAGTGAATTGGGTATAACAAGTTTCACCAAGTTTTACATTGATAATGTTATTGGTGTTGAACCTTCCAAATATCCGAGATTAGTAAGAGCATGTCCAGAGCTCACTGAAATGACAAGAGTGATATTAAGAGTAGAAATTTCTGTTTCATAATTCATCTAATGAAATGGTTATATTAATACATCGTGTGATTCATGTAAACTCAACGAAAAGAGAGTAAACAACTGTAAATGAATACTGAGCAGTTACGTGCTCAGTATTCATTTACAGTATTACATTTACATTTAGTTGAATTATAGAATAGAGCTTTTTCTCCAAGTTACTCGTATTCAACACCTTGGATCATAAGGAATTACCAATTTTCATCTCGCAAGCAGATATTTTTTCCATTGCTAATGATTCAGTTTCAAACCTTCATTTTCTATGTGCAAAATTTCGAACTCTTCGTTAAATATATGATTTTCTTCTAGAAGATGATTTGAATATGTTGAATTTGTTTTCTTATTTACATAGCTCGTATGATGTTCCTGGATTTAATTCCTAAATGTTCTGTCCGTTTGACCAATATATACCTTAGGGCACGTTTCACCCTTTAATTTATATACTCCTGATTTCTCGAATTTGGATGTCTTGTCTTTATTATTTTTAACCAACTTTCCCAACGTATTACTTGTTCTATAAACAATTTTAATATCTCGTTACCTCAAAAATGAAGTAACTTTTTCCGTTGGTTGCCCAAAATACGTTAAAGCTCTATAATTTTGATTATCTACCTTATCACTAGAAAAAACGTCTCGAATCGCTTTTGCGTAGACTTTCTTGGCAAGTATTTTGTTAATTAATTCGTCTTTAAACCCATTGTGAACTGCGATTTGCTTGATGATATTAAGTTCTTTATTGTTTGTGCACAGATTTATCCAATTAGACCAGTGGTTTCCTTTGTCACTTCACCATCAGTGAAATTATCAGAAAGGCTATTCAATATCATCTTGTCCCATTGTCACTTCCAACCAAAATTCAGTCTACGGAATTCATATGACTTAATCAATAAACTAGAGAACATACCTCTACCATACATAGCAAAACTACTATCTTTTGATGTGCAGAATCTATTTCCTAGCATTCCTCCTGATGATACTATTACTTTAGTAATAGAATTATTAGATAAAAATAGAGTGAATCCATTCATAAAACGGGAAATAACTGACCTTCTGTCGTTATGTTTCAAACAAAATTATTTTCAATTGAATAACAGTATTTATTCCCCCTCAAAAGGTGTAATTATGGGAAATCCATTAAGCCCTTTACTTGCAGAAATTTTCATGGATAATCTAGAGAAGTCGATCTTTAAATACCCTTTGATTAAGAATTTCTTGTATTGGCATATATATGTGGATGACGTTTTGGTATGTTTTACAGGTAGGTACTAAGAGGCAATTAGATAGGGGATATTAACAAAATTCATGAAAACATTAAATTCACTATTGAAATACAAGCAGAAAACTCAATCAATTTCTTGGACTTAACAAGCAGTAGAAGGAACAACAAACATGATTTTTCAATTTATCATAAACCGTCCCATACGGATATTACCATACATTACGATTCTCCCATCCTTATCAACACAAAGTAGCAGCTTATAATAGCATGATTCACAAATTAGTCAATCTTCCTCTCTCAATAGATAATTTCAATAAAGAACTTAATATCATCAAGCAAATTGCGATTAACAATGGGTTTAAAGAAGAATTGATTAACAAAATACTTGCCAAGAAAGTCTACGCAAAAGCGATTCGGGACGTTTTTCCTATTGATAAGGTAGATAATCAAAATTATAGAGCTTTAACGTATTTTGAACAACCAACGGAAAAAGTGGCTTCATTTTTGAGGAAACAAGATATTAAAATTTCTTATAGAACAAGTAATACGTTGGGAAAGTTAGTTAAAAATAATAAAGACAAGACATCCAAATTCGAGAAATCAGGAGTATGTAAATTGAAGTGTGGAACGTGCTTTAAGGTATATATTGGTCAAACGGGCAGAACATCTAGGAATCGAATCCAGGAACATCGTACGAGCTATGTAAATAAGAAAACAAATTCAACATATTCAAATCATCTTTTAGAAGAAAATCATATCTTTACCGAAGAGTTCGAAATTTTGCACATAGAAAATGAAGGTTTGAAACTGAATCATTTGGAAGCAATGGAAATTAATAAACTTAAAAATTCAAACATTCTAATGAATCACCAACTGGATTTGAATAGATCACCATTATTGAACTTGTTTCCTAAAATTCGAGAAAGAATTATTATTGATGTAGAGGTGATGTAATATACTTTAGGTAATCATAATTCAACAGGTACCTTTGATAGAAGTTCAGATAATTTTTTGGAATTAGTCTCAACTATGGTTACTTTTAGTATATAAATATTAATGTAAGAATAATTTGAAGTACTCATACACTTGAGAAATCTACAGTGCTAGCGAAACATGTGATTACATTTTTCCAAATAAAGTTTGTGGAGATCAAATCGTGAGGTGTAATTTTTGAAATTACTATGGATCTTCATCAAGTAACGGCCGAATCAATCAGAGAAAAAAAAGATATATTTTTACTGTCTGGTAATAACTCGGGATACATAATTGGGATACTATTTTTACAGAAACTCAACTACTGATGGTTTGCTTGGATATATTTCTGGCTGGATCGCAAACTTCGAGTAGTACTCTTACTTTCGCATTTCTGATGATGCTTCTGAATCCTGATGTAAAAAAGAAAGTACATGACTGTCTTGATAAGGAGTTTGGAAAATCTGAACCTATAACACTTAGTGAAAGAAACAGGTATCACACTTATATTTGCTGATATTGAAATATGCAAGATAGTAGGTTCATTCCACTTTTGATCACAAATAGAATCTACCACTACGTTTACGACTAATGGTTTGTCCTTGGGGTTAGTTAGATGCTATGCATCAAATACTTGTACACCAAGTAAAAAACTTTTAATTTTTTCCGTAGCTATAACAATCGATATTTTCTCGCATGAAGTATGCCTTCTTGTCTTAAATTTCATACGGTTGCTAGTTATCTGAAAATTTGAAGTAGAGAACTATTTTCCAGTCTCATTTATTTGTATCCTCTTGAATTCTTTTGATACGTTGACCATAGTGGAGTCCTCCTAAATCCAGTTTCCTGGTAGTACTTACAATAATGTTTCGAACATGATTACTTGGAAAATATATTTTCAATGATAATAATAATAATAATAATAAGAAATAGCCACTAACACCTGAGGCCATTGGTGAGTTGCGCCACCATTTACCCGAGCAATTGGTGTACCACCCGAACGGCAGCTCAGGCGCCCCCGGGAGGGAGAATACTATTCTTGTTATAATATGAATGCTACTGGCCGTTAAGAAGTCACTAGAGAGGCGACCGAGAAGTATCGCGGAAAACCTTAGGTTCCACAAGAAACCTTCTCGCTTATTCCAAGAGCTTCCACGTGTTGTGGATAATACGACGACCGCTGATCGGGTGGAATCCTTCTGAAAGAACATCTATGAACGCCCGAAGCCACTCAACTTAGACACTCCAGCCCTAGTACAGTTCGAAGCATTCAGTCAAGATCTTCGACAGCCTGAACTCACTGAACTGCACTGTGAGTTTCGAAAACTTTGCTGCCCAGACGGTGTGGTCGGATAAATAGTCTATAATATTATTTTTTCAAGGGATTGTAACTGTTCTTTTCTTTGCATGGGTTGAAAAATTGTTCATTTATCAAGTTCATACAATTGCTTGACATAATATTTACTTATTACCTCTGATATATTCCAATTTTGTGGAGCTCACTAACATTCACCAGATATACCTTAGGCTATCACAAACAATTTAATTTGTTGTTGTTATGTATTGTAATCTGAAGTCGTCCCTGACCGATATCTCAGCCAGCGAATAAACATATGACATCCCGCGAAAGAATGCAGTCCAACTCGCCGGTAAAATACTAAGCGAGAACAGAGACCACTAGAGCAATCTAAAACGATCGTTACCGATATAAAAGGCCGGCTCCTCGTTCAGAGAGGGAGATGAATTCAGAAAGCGAATCTATCGGTTAAACAAAGAATTCAAATAGTGTAAATAAATTAGTTGTGATAGTGAAATATTGTTAGAAATAAATTTGTTTATGACAGCTGATCCGTTAATTTGTTACAATTGGTGATCAGAAGTGGATTTGTAAAATAAATCTGTGAGCGCGTGGTGGACAATCTTTGTATTGCGGTGAAATTGACTATAATACTTATTTGTTTGCGTAGGGACTGGTGACTCGTTGTGTTTCGCGTAGGGGCTGGTAAATCGTTGTGTTTCGCGAAGTGGATAGTACCGGACTACGGAAACATAAGCTGATAGAGCTTTCTCGCGAAAAATAGACTTGTAAAAATGAATAAGTGTTTCTGACTCGATTAAAATATGTGGACATATTCAGCTTTGTGGAAAATAGACAATAAGAGACAAAATGTGTTCAAGGAAAGTGCGCCTAGTGGACTTGAAAGTTGCCGAATTGAAGCAAGAATTGGAGAAGAGAGAGCTAGATTGTTCTGGAAAGAAATCAGTACTCCAGAAGAGTCTGTGGGATAACCCAAAACATATTTATTCGAAGTTTCTGATGGTGATTTGATTTCAATAATGAGCAAACTCGATGAGAATACCAAATCGCTAAAAGATGAACTTCAACAAAATTCGAAATGCCTGGAGGAGAAGCTTCTGAAAAACTCGAAGTGTTTGGAAGATAAATTTCTAGAGAATTCGAATAGTTTGAAGGAAGAACTTCTAGAAAATGCAGAAGGCTTGATAAAAGATATTTGTAGTGTGGCGAGCCTACTCGAAGAAAGGATAGGAACCATCGAGACAGAGATAGACAAAATCAGGAAGGAAATGAACACAGAAGTAGAGGAAATCAAAGGCGGAGTTCAGGCAGAAATCAGCGAGATAAAGAAAACAGTTAGCAAGTTGCAAAACCAAATCGTTAATTCTGCCCACCCCACAGAAACAGTTACCGAAAACTCAACTTCGGAACTGAAAGATGTCAAAGTCAGTTCTGAACCAGGAAAGCTCTCTACAAAGCCGCCCCAGTTCGACGGAAAAACTCCTTGGGCAAATTACCGCCGAAAATTTGAAGCTGCGGCCAGACCGAATGGATGGAATGCAGGAGAAAAGGCGGTAGCATAAACATTGGCGTTGCGTGGAGAAGCAACGAATATTCTGCAAACCCTCACGGCCCAGGAACAGGAAGACTATGACCAACTTGTAAAGCATCTTGAGCTGCGGTATGGACAGGCCCACCTAGAGCACGTTTACCATTCACAGCTGAAGAACCGCTGCCAGAAATCAGGAGAATTCCTACAGGAATTTGAAGCTGACTTTGCTCGATTGGTTCGTCTGGTATATCTTGCTACACCGGAAAATGTAATGGAGCGGTTAGCAGTTTAAGCATTCTTGGAAGGACTTCGCGACCAAGAAACGAGGCAGGCCTTGACACCAGCTCATCCCAAACATCTTGTGGATGCACTAGCAAGCGCTCTGGAGTTTGAGGCTGCAAAACAATCCTGCAAGAGCCAGAGCAAACTTCGAGCTATCGAAGAAGATGGACCACCATTAGAAAAGTAATAAAAGAAGTGTTACCTGAGAGGAAACAAATAAGATGCTGGAACCGTGGGAGAATTGGACATGTGCATAGCAAATGTCCAGCTTTCAAAGAATCGACACCAAATCAGGAAAACTAGAGGGGGTCGATGAGAAGGGACAATCGTCGGCCTGTACCCAGCAAGCCCCCGTAGAAAACGGTTTGCCAAGCCAACAACTTGCCTAAAGAGTTGAAGAAATTGATCGACATTTCCTCCAAGGACATACCACCAACTCACCGATCGAAATTGAGGGAGTTAGCCAAGAAGTACCAGAAAATCTTCGATATTGGAGAAGGAAAAGGCGGCAAAACGAATGTGGTTCAGCACAGAATCGACACTGGAAATGCCCGACCAATCCGGCAATCAGCTAGAAGACTCCCTGTTGCGAAGAGAGAAGATGCAGACAAGATAGTCAGTGATATGGGAAAAGAAGGGTCATCGAACCTTCTGACAGCCCCTGATCTTCCCCAGTCGTATTAGTGAAGAAGAAGGACGGCTCGACAAGGTTCTGCGTGGATTCTCGCCAACTAAATCACGTGACAAAGAAAGACAGCTACCCTCTTCCAAGAATCGACGACACCTTAGACACGCTAGCCGGGTCCAAAATTTTCTCGACTTTGGATTTGAAGAGTGGATATTGGCAAGTTGAATTGGCTCACGGTTATGCCATTCGGGCTTTGTAATGCTCCAGCGACTTTCGAGAGATTGATGGAGACGGTTCTCAAGGGGCTCTCATGGAAGACGTGTCTAGTGTATCTCGACGATATAATTGTGGTCGGAAAATCATTCGACATCATTTGAAATATCTGGAGGAAGTATTCATGCGTCTGAGGAGTCCTGGATTGAAACTTAGTCCCGAATAATGCCATCTGTTCCAGAAAGAAGTCCGTTACCTTGGCCACGTTGTCTCTGGGGAAGGAGTGGCGGTAGACGAACAAAAGATTAAAGCAGTTAAGGACTGGCCCATTCCAAAAGACATACATCAACTTCGGAGCTTCCTTGGTTTATGCACCTACTACCGCCGATATGTGCTGGGGTTTGCCAACATCGCTAAACCATTGACTCGCCTCACAGAAGGGCAGATCCAGTTCCAGTGGTCTGAGGAATGCCAAAACTCATTCAAGAAGTTGAAAAGAGCTTTGATAAACGCTTCTGTTTTGAGCTATCCCCTACCGGACGGAAAGTTCATTTTAGATTGTGTCACCAGGTGAGAGCCATTGTCAAAGGTGTAGAACATTTCTACAAATACGTGTATGGAAGAAGATTTCTGTCCGCCCCCGCCAGCCGTCTTTATTTTGACTGCCGTCAAGTCTCAACGGCAGTATATTCATTCCTTTACGGATGATTATGCATGTTCTTGGGGTCTCTGAGGTTTTGTTATAAATTAACTCCCTTCTAATGCCCCCCAATCCCATTATTTTTCCCCTGTATACCCAGGGTTCTTGTATGAGAGCAATATCAAACCCCCCATCACTCTGGTAAGGACAGCCGAGGCCCCCTTACTGTGTTGCAGGTTTGTTTGTATCACTGTCAACATTGCTGTTAAGACCCTTCAGGACCTTTAAGGTGACCATGCCCAGCTTGTAGTAGGCTTTAAACATGTTCCCCTCCAAGGTCCTGAAAGAACTTTCATTCGTGGAGTAGGCCAGGATTTGTCCATTCTCTTCCACTGCATACTGAGGCGTGTCATAACTGTAGCCTCCTCGTTTTTTTGACCCGGAATGAAAGCTAGGACTCTCGGTTCCTTCGGGAGTTCGTTGGCCTCGACCACGGTCAAGTCCGCCCCCTCTCAAAGCTTTCCCAAGTTTCCAATGCTTCCTCTGAGCCATTCTTTTGTCCCTTAATCCGCACAGGTTATCCATAGGACTCCTGCGCCGACTCCTGAGGTCTTTTTGAATTGGAGGTTTTCGAGGCTACCAGAGGGAGTATTGTCCAATTCGCGGACAAGTCCCTCCTGGATCAGGTCTGCTTGACCCTGACTCAGGGTGTCTCGTGTCGGTAACCGCCACCCTCAGGCCCCTAGCAGCCTCGCTATAGGTCCTACTTTCTTTGGAAGCCCTGGGTTTTTTCAGTACCTTCTGTGGGGGAGTTTTTACATCCTCTCTAGGTCTCTTTTTAGCCTTTCCATAGAAGTTACTTTTGTTTTTTCCGTTTTTCTGAGGTCTTTTGTGTTACATGGTTTTTCGATCTATGTTCCCGCAGCTATTTTCTATGCTTTCACCAGTTTGCGCCTTTGCGCCCCTGATGGCCTTTTCTTCCGCAGTTCGACTTTCGTCAATCCTGCAGTTATGCTTTCGGTGGGGCTGATGTTTCCCGTCGTTTGACTAGGACTTTTCTGGTCAGTTTACACCTCCAGGATAGTGTGATTTTGCGAGGAGTCGCTCGAAGAGTCCTCCTCTGATATTCTTGTACTTGTTCCTTGTTCCATCCAAGTCCCACGAGTATGGAGGAAAGGGTTGTCCACATCCATGGTGCCCCCTGTATGGATGTAAGGCTGGATACTTTGGGAGGTTGCCTGGTATCCCAAAGGCTCCGTTAGTGCATCCTGATGAGGCTCAGGTACCACTCATCCTTTGGCACGAGTCGCATAACACCTTGGATTAAGCCTGGGTCCTTCTTGGTCTGACTGTTCTGTTACGGCCTCTTCGGCATGGGAGACCCTACCAGCAGCTAAGCTGCCGCCGACATAGTCCGTAACTTCATCACAGTACGCAAGCCCTCCCACCACGGCAAGGTGAAGACCTTTCGGGAGGGAGTAACGAAGACCCTCCAAAAAGTAAGAAAACGGTTTTACTGGATTAATTGTCAAGTCGACGTCAAGGACTGGTGTAGAAAATTTGCTGTATGTGCTGCCAGTAACTGACCTGGGATACGACCGAAAGCTCCAATACGCCAGTATAACGTGGATAGTCCCTTTGAGAGAATCGCCATCGACATCGCCGGCCCGTTCCCAGAGTCCGACCATGGGAACAAATACATCTTGGTAGCCATGGACTACTTCAGTAAGTGGGCAGAAGCCTACGCCCTGCCCAACCAGGAAGCCTTTACCGTCGCTGACGTCCTGGTGAAGGAATGGATATGTCGATTCGGTGTCCCATTGGAGCTGCATTCGGACCAGGGCAGAAATTTCGAGTCTAACTTGTTGCAAGAAATATGTAAACTGTTGGACATCCGAAAGACCAGAACCACAGCCTTACATCCACAGTCCGATTTAATGGTGGAACGCCACTTGTCGTCCAAGGTAGTCTCTGACTATCAACGAGACTGGGACCAGTACCTCAACCTGTTCCTGTTGGCCTATCGTTGCCAAACCCCTGCCAGTATCATAATGGGCCGAGAGCTGCTGCTTCCTTGCGATCTGAAATTTGGGAAGCCGTCAGAACAAGACAATGCGGAGGAAGACTATGTCAGCAAGCTTCGGTAGAGAATGGGCGACATCCATGAACGAGTTCGTCCGAACATCCGGAGTGCCAGCGATAGGATGAAGAAGGCCTATGCCATCAATGTGAATGCTGCGATGCCGCGGTTTATCACCGAAGTTGCGGAACTCGTGGGAAGGTCCGGACAAAATCATGAAAAAAATTAATGACCTCGTCTGCCGAATCCATAAGCCAACTCGAGGAAAGATTAGGGTCGTCCATTTCAATAGATTGGCTCCTATGCTGGAAATCACGACCAAGTTCGCGCCCTCAGACCACCAGAGGATAAAATGACGTTCCAGAAATTCATGTCATTATACTCGAACGGACAGAATCGTACATGGGGTAACTCAAGAAGAGCCACGAGACCTTTTCAAGGTTCCAGTTGATTACGCACTAGCTCAATGCGTGGCCGAGGATCTCCAATTGTCCAAGGGTATCGCTGTGGTATTCAACAAGAATTTCGGCCAGCTTCAAACATTACGAGAACAGAATCCTGAGGTCGGAGGAGTGCTACAGTTAAAGAAGGGTCATAGAAACATTTTCTACTTGGTGATCAAAAACCATTCTCGAGACAAACCCTCCTATGAAGATGTCTGTAGGAGTCTTACCAGACTGAGGTACACGATGCTCGACCAGAATCTCGTGGACTTGGCAATCCCGAAATTAGCCTCTGGGCTCGACAGGCTGGATTGGAGAATTGTGAGAAGCATGTTGGAAACGATCTTCAGATCCAGCGGCATCAAGATTTTGGTGTGCGGTAACCATCTTCCACAACCGAGCATGAGGTGGGAGTGTTACCTCCATCGAACTTCACAGTGCAGATATGGGAAGTCGTGCAGGTATCGACACACGCCAAGGATGGCATATGGGAAGTCGTGCAGGTATCGACACACGCCAAGGATGGCATTTCGAAGCGAAACGTCTCTATGAAGGGGGTAATGTAACGAATCTGAAGCCGTCCCTGACCGATATCTCAGCCAGCGAATAAACATATGACATCACCGCAAAAGAATGCGGTCTGACTCGCCGGGAAAATACTAGGCGAGAACAGAGACCACTAGAGAAATCTAGAACGATCGTTACCGATATAAAAGGCCAGCTCCTCGTTCAGAGAGGGAGATTAATTCAGAAAGCGAATCAAGCGGTTAAACAAATAATTCAAATAGTGAAAATAAATTAAGTGTGTTGTAAATAAATTAATTGTGATAGTGAAATATTGTTAGAAATAAATTTGTTCAAGACAGTTGATTCGTTAATTTGTTACAGTATTTTGCAATTGCTGTTTACCATCTGGGCGTCTTACTACAGAAGTTTTTCCAAGTTTTTTTCATCTTTGTGTTTTTGGTTAAACAAAAAGTATTGTGATCAGTTTTCATAATTATCAATCTAGGATTCTCCCAAGGTTTTACTTGAAAAGCCTGTGAATTACTCTTCACCATCTTGTTGCAAAATATGTTTCAGAAATATATATCGGTTTTTTCTTTTCCTATTCTGTTTCTTAAGTTTTTTTTTTATTCTTATTGGTCCAGTTGCTTGAGCGATGTATCTTGTTTGCTTTCTCCTTCCTTTCCTATTTTACTTTCACTGATATCAAAAACTGAAAAAATGTTGGGATTGAGTATAAACCAACTAATCTTTAATTCTGCTTCACACACTAGGGCTCTGGTTTCAGCTATTTGCCCGTTTTTTTTGTAACACTTCAACATGGGAACTCTTATTTATTTCAGACAAGCAAGGTTTGGGTTTTTTGTCGATCTCATTGATGCCGATTCAGTAGAAAGAGATGACCATATTCACTCATACTCAGGATTGTCCTTTAAAGACAGTCGAGTTGAACAATGTATCTGTGGTTCAGCCTAGCACCACTGATGAGACATAAGGCAAGTTTAAATAGGGCTGTCAGGTATGGGACCATGAATGTTTTTTCAATATCTGGTTCCATCTAGTTACTTGGTAGTGAAATCTGTAGAAAGACGCAGATTTTTCATAAGGCGGCCTTTGGATTTGTCACATATTAAGTGAATATTCCCATACTAACTTGTGCCAAAGTAATGACATACTTCATGAAGTTCCTTATACTTTCATGCATTTCAGTATTCACTTTTTTATTCAGAGTTCCTTACGTAGAAGCAGTTCTCTTTGAAGTAGAGAGGATGTTCACAACCACTCCAATAATTGGACCACGAAGAGTTCTGAAAAACACTGTACTGGAAGGTTATAACATACCGAAGGTGAGTTATCATCATCTATAATCTTGTAATAATTGAATAACAAACACCACTACGTGTAGCAAAGCAAGGAAACTGTTGAAGAATTTCTGAGTACGTTTGTATTATTGTCTGGCCAGAGTACAGGATTTACGTACAAGCTATAATTCAGGGCGAGTAATTCTTTTATACACCTTAATACCCTGAGGCAACATTCAATACGTTCTTTGTGACACGCAACTTCTCACGTTACGATTCACGTAACGTCACTTTACGTTCGAAGAACAAGTGATAACAAGTCTTGAAAATGTCCTCTAAGGCGATGGTGAAACGTTTACCTTTGAAGAATATACAACGGATGAACACCCAGAAAAGCATACCTGAATCACGCTCTTGGAATTCCATAACTCCTGCAGATAAAACAACACTTTTATTATTGAAGCCTTTCACATACATACCTTCAAAAAACTTACATGTTAACTTTCACAGCTTTATGGATCCGTGCCACTCTCACCATCAAAGTAACAATATTCTGCTTTAGTTCATTAAAAAAAAATGCAAAAATAATCCATATGATAATTTTTACTCACAACTCGATAACTGACAATCCTGTATTTGAATGCGCTATTGATAAGTTTCACGTCATGAGAAAACTCATTGCATGCATTCGTTCTGTGCTCTATTGTCTCGAGGTGAGAATTTCACTCCCCGAGTGAAACATCTATCACACCCGCTATGATACATAATAATTCTGCTTATAGATTGAAATTCAAAATTATACTTCTAGCTGGTGATTCCACTCCTATATGAGGTGAGTACGGCAGGGGAACAGATACGACAAACACTTGAGGGTAATATTCAAGGTTGAGTTAGGAAATTGGGTTTGAATTACCTTGATGATAATCAAAGTTGAATGAAAAGCGAGACTTTGAATATCCTTCAAAATGTGTGTCGAATGACACAATTCAAGGTCAAAACTAAAGTCATCTGAAAGTTACCCTGTCAAGGTTGTGTGGTGTGGGTCGTCTCAAAGTCAAGTGGGGGGGGAGACTTAGGATCGGTATAAATCAACTACTGTGCTTGCACACCGATGAGCCACCCAGGCACTTCCCAAAGGCCTTGATTACTGTGTGGTGATCAGCGGCTGATGTGATTCATTATGACTTTCTAAAACTGGGTAAAACCATCATAGCACAGTCATTTTGTGAGAAATATACCAAAAATTACGTCAGCAGTAGCCGACACTGGACATCAGAAGAGATCCAATCCTGCTCCTTAACAACGCCCGTCTGCACGTTACACAAACCACCGAAAATTAATCGAATTGAGCGTCGAAGTTCTGCATCACCTAACCGACTACCATTTCTTCAAGCATTTTTATAACATTCTCACCGGTAGAACCTTCGCCAATCAGGATCAGACAAAAATGGCCTTCGTCGACTCCATCGAATATTGCAAGCACACAATTTTTATGCTGACGGAATTAATCGAGTTGTGTTACATTGGCAGAAGTGCATTCAAAAGGCGCTCATTTCCATTAAATTGAATAGGTTTTCCCTGAGACAAAACATTTGGAAGAACCTTATAATAATAATAATAATGATAATAGCCTTTATTACCCAACAGTTTCTGTAGGAGTCTTACCAGACTGAGGTACACGATGCTCGACCAGAATCTCGTGGACTTGGCAATCCCGAAATTAGCCTCTGGGCTCGACAGGCTGGATTGGAGAATTGTGAGAAGCATGTTGGAAACGATCTTCAGATCCAGCGGCATCAAGATTTTGGTGTGCGGTAACCATCTTCCACAACCGAGCATGAGGTGGGAGTGTTACCTCCATCGAACTTCACAGTGCAGATATGGGAAGTCGTGCAGGTATCGACACACGCCAAGGATGGCATATGGGAAGTCGTGCAGGTATCGACACACGCCAAGGATGGCATTTCGAAGCGAAACGTCTCTATGAAGGGGGTAATGTAACGAATCTGAAGCCGTCCCTGACCGATATCTCAGCCAGCGAATAAACATATGACATCACCGCAAAAGAATGCGGTCTGACTCGCCGGGAAAATACTAGGCGAGAACAGAGACCACTAGAGAAATCTAGAACGATCGTTACCGATATAAAAGGCCAGCTCCTCGTTCAGAGAGGGAGATTAATTCAGAAAGCGAATCAAGCGGTTAAACAAATAATTCAAATAGTGAAAATAAATTAAGTGTGTTGTAAATAAATTAATTGTGATAGTGAAATATTGTTAGAAATAAATTTGTTCAAGACAGTTGATTCGTTAATTTGTTACAGTATTTTGCAATTGCTGTTTACCATCTGGGCGTCTTACTACAGAAGTTTTTCCAAGTTTTTTTCATCTTTGTGTTTTTGGTTAAACAAAAAGTATTGTGATCAGTTTTCATAATTATCAATCTAGGATTCTCCCAAGGTTTTACTTGAAAAGCCTGTGAATTACTCTTCACCATCTTGTTGCAAAATATGTTTCAGAAATATATATCGGTTTTTTCTTTTCCTATTCTGTTTCTTAAGTTTTTTTTTTATTCTTATTGGTCCAGTTGCTTGAGCGATGTATCTTGTTTGCTTTCTCCTTCCTTTCCTATTTTACTTTCACTGATATCAAAAACTGAAAAAATGTTGGGATTGAGTATAAACCAACTAATCTTTAATTCTGCTTCACACACTAGGGCTCTGGTTTCAGCTATTTGCCCGTTTTTTTTGTAACACTTCAACATGGGAACTCTTATTTATTTCAGACAAGCAAGGTTTGGGTTTTTTGTCGATCTCATTGATGCCGATTCAGTAGAAAGAGATGACCATATTCACTCATACTCAGGATTGTCCTTTAAAGACAGTCGAGTTGAACAATGTATCTGTGGTTCAGCCTAGCACCACTGATGAGACATAAGGCAAGTTTAAATAGGGCTGTCAGGTATGGGACCATGAATGTTTTTTCAATATCTGGTTCCATCTAGTTACTTGGTAGTGAAATCTGTAGAAAGACGCAGATTTTTCATAAGGCGGCCTTTGGATTTGTCACATATTAAGTGAATATTCCCATACTAACTTGTGCCAAAGTAATGACATACTTCATGAAGTTCCTTATACTTTCATGCATTTCAGTATTCACTTTTTTATTCAGAGTTCCTTACGTAGAAGCAGTTCTCTTTGAAGTAGAGAGGATGTTCACAACCACTCCAATAATTGGACCACGAAGAGTTCTGAAAAACACTGTACTGGAAGGTTATAACATACCGAAGGTGAGTTATCATCATCTATAATCTTGTAATAATTGAATAACAAACACCACTACGTGTAGCAAAGCAAGGAAACTGTTGAAGAATTTCTGAGTACGTTTGTATTATTGTCTGGCCAGAGTACAGGATTTACGTACAAGCTATAATTCAGGGCGAGTAATTCTTTTATACACCTTAATACCCTGAGGCAACATTCAATACGTTCTTTGTGACACGCAACTTCTCACGTTACGATTCACGTAACGTCACTTTACGTTCGAAGAACAAGTGATAACAAGTCTTGAAAATGTCCTCTAAGGCGATGGTGAAACGTTTACCTTTGAAGAATATACAACGGATGAACACCCAGAAAAGCATACCTGAATCACGCTCTTGGAATTCCATAACTCCTGCAGATAAAACAACACTTTTATTATTGAAGCCTTTCACATACATACCTTCAAAAAACTTACATGTTAACTTTCACAGCTTTATGGATCCGTGCCACTCTCACCATCAAAGTAACAATATTCTGCTTTAGTTCATTAAAAAAAAATACGAAACCACTTTCATTCCCGGCATGCAAAATTATAACACGTTTTCCCCTTGAAGAAGATGTGTTCAAAGCACAATACTTGGTTTCGTCTACCCAGCCATATTTGACAACATCATGGGTGTCAAATCAAGTTTCGTCGAGGCAGATTATATGTCTCCTAGATTCTCGGTAGCTTTTCATTCGCCTCAAATATTTTTGCCGGAGTTGAACAATGCGTGTCAATTCCATTATGATCATTCGATTGTTCAATTTTTTATATTTGAAACCGCAAGACAATAAGACACCTCGTAGAGTTTCTAAAGATTTGTAATTGTAATCGGGATAGTCGAGTAATTTATACCAAATCATTTCCAAGGTTGGTACTTAATTTTTTTGATATATACCATAAATTGTTCGCCGAATCACATCTTTTGTAGCACCATCAACGTTTGCGAATTTTTTATTCCTTTGTTTTCGTTTCATTGCATGGTCAATGACATCCCCTATTTTAATGACTCTAAGAACTGTCGAACGAGATAATTTCGTTTACTCGCATATTCTATTCACAATAGCATTCTGTCCGATTTTTGATCTATAGTTGACAAATTAATTTGCAGGTAGTGGTTCCACTAGTTAATTACAGAAAAATCAATTAGGATAATCATCATTTAACTTTAAGAACTAGGTATATAAACAGTTAACCCTTGTTTTTAGATTCAGAATCAATTTGCTTCTCCTGAAGATGCTAACCTTGTTAGCGAAACGCGCGTCGAGTGCAAAAATATCAGTGTTAGGGTAATTGATCTCTAAAAATAGTTTTCAAAATCTGTTTGCAAAACCACCCACTATCTCACCTAACCCCACGAACACACGGCACTGATAAAGAAATATTGTGAAACGGACAAAAAATTAGTATTCAGCCAGTCCAGCTAGCCAAGCCTTTATTCCTCAACTACATTTGATAGCACGTTTACTAACTATCTGGGCGACTAGGGACTACAGGCAAGAAATATTTATGACTGTACTCTTATTTTTATTGCCGTTCCAATTGGGAATGGATAGACTATACTTCAAGTTCTGAATTGAGGCACACAGAAATTTATAAAAGATAACAACTCCATAGCATCCACATTGTTGTGCAGTAATTTATGCAGAAAAATTATTCCAGCGAATTTTCTGCGTAATTCAAGACTTTCAATATTGAATGTTATGGTAAGAGATTCATATGGAATACCTCGATCAGGATAGATACCATAAGATTTGAAGTAAATAAACTTTAGGAAACGAAATTGAACTTTTTCAATTAATGTATTATAGCAATTGTAGAATGCAGACCATAGAACAGAGCCATATTCTAATTTTGACCTTACGTAGGCTACATAAAGAGTCAATGGAGCAGATATGTTTGAAAAAGATCTACAATTGCGAACTATGAAGCCATAAACTCTCAATGCTTCACTTACACTCGATCTAATGTGGTTGGAAAAAGAAAAATTTTGATCAAAATATACACTTAGATTTGGGAAAGAAAGTTTTTGGCTTTCTACTAATCCATCTTGATACAAAAAACAAGGATGAGGGAATCTTCCAAGGAAAGGAAGGAAGTAATCAATTTTAAAATAAGTAACTGAAGAGCCTTGGGGCAAGTGTCTTAAGGCGAAACATCGGTGTATACCAGTGAGGGTGACAGTGTTCCATGTAAGTGCAATTTATTACCATTCATTTAAAGTAGAACTCATGTGAATAATATCTGATTTTCATTCCACAACGAATGTTTGAAATACAAACTGAGTAGAGAAAAGTATCTTCTATATAATTCAGTGTTCATATAGAAGTATTTGTTTCCAAAGATTTTTTTTCTTTCGTGTAATTCAATGTTCATATGGGAAGTAGCTGTTTCAGGAGGACTTTCTTTCAGTTTGTGTCTGAAAGTTATTTCTTAGCATGATCTACACATCCATGTATAGAGTTACTTATTTCAAAATTGATTCTTCCTTCCTTTCTTTGGAAGATTCCCTCATCCTTGTTTTTTGTATCAAGATGGAGTCGTAGAAAGCCAAAAACTTTCTTTCCCAAAAATTAATCACTCCTAAAAATATAACCCTTTCAATTCAAATAATATTCCTTTTGGCTGGGATTAAATCAAATAGGTGAATGAATGACATTACGATGGCATCGATGACATAAGCAGATCAAGCTTATTCCGTGACATTAAAAAATCGTAATTCATGAATGAATTGTGTATATTTTCTATAATGTTATCCAATTTGGTACTGAAGAGCCTTGGGGCAAGTGTCTTAAGGCGAAACATCGGTGTATACCAGTGAGGGTGACAGTGTTCCATGTAAGTGCAATTTATTACCATTCATTTAAAGTAGAACTCATGTGAATAATATCTGATTTTCATTCCACAACGAATGTTTGAAATACAAACTGAGTAGAGAAAAGTATCTTCTATATAATTCAGTGTTCATATAGAAGTATTTGTTTCCAAAGATTTTTTTTCTTTCGTGTAATTCAATGTTCATATGGGAAGTAGCTGTTTCAGGAGGACTTTCTTTCAGTTTGTGTCTGAAAGTTATTTCTTAGCATGATCTACACATCCATGTATAGAGTTACTTATTTCAAAATTGATTACTTCCTTCCTTTCCTTGGAAGATTCCCTCATCCTTATTTTTTGTATCAAGATGGAGTAGTAGAAAGCCAAAAACATTCTTTCCCAAAAATGAATTACTCCTAAAAATATAACCCTTTCAATTCATACACCAAGATCTTTTATTGACTTACTGGTGATGCAGATCGTCTCCAATGTTTACTGTCAGTAAGTGGGCTTTGCCATAAAAATTAAAGTTACATATTCTACCATCGCGAATCGCGAGGAAATTTAAAATAAACTTATTCTCTTACTTATTACTATTCTTGAAGAGTTATATTCAGAATTACTTTAATATTTGATTGGCACTTTTATATCTTCTTTAGGATACCACGGTATTAATGAGTTTATATTCCCTGCACAATGATGAAAAATATTGGACTGACCCCGGAATATTCAGACCTGAGCGATTTTTGGACGAAGAAGGTAAATTAATATTCCACGAAAGACTATTACCATTTGGTTTAGGTAAGTTTTGATGTTTGTATTCACACATTTTTTGTTAAAAAAATGACTGATTTCAGGTAGAAGAAGATGTCCAGGAGAAATATTAGCAAAAAGCTGCATATTTTCATTTTTTTCCGAAGTTATGAGAAGCTACAACATAGAATCTCCCCCTGGTACTCAAGTACCTTCTGGTAAACATCACTCTGGAATTACTTTGATACCACAAAAATATAGAGTTGTATTCGATAAAAGGCACTTCTGAATATTTCAATGTTGTATGTTAAACAAGTGGAAACAATTTCCTTAAAAACTATTAGAAAAGGTAACAAATATTGTGCTTATGATGAAAAAAATAAATTGAAGTTCATCCAAGGTACGAGGGATTTCCATCGAAAGTAGACCTTCTACTGAAAAAACTAAATACAAAAACTTGCACGAACCATTTTTTCACACGTAACACACGATTTTTGGTGGAAATTTATCTATTTGTGTTCTATATATTTTTTAATCGAAATATTCAGTATGCTATTTCATTTTCATTTTGAAGCTACTAAAATACCTCTTTTTCAGCCGAATTACTCATGTGCTGTTAAAGCCTAGTTTTGAAAATTAACACTGGTACTTTTTAAAGTATCTACTTTCAGATGGTATAAATGAAATCACATTTTTTTGTAATTTTTTTTCATGGTAACGTTACTTGTACATCATACATTAGCATCATCCGGAAGATGTTTCAATAAAAAAGGCCACTGATGATTTTGACATTCATATTTTGATTAGGCACAGAATTTGGAATGACAAAATCTTCCAAATAGATATGTAGATTTTTTAATACCTACAACTCAAAGAGGTGTGATTCCGGTGAAATTTGTGGAAAATTAGACTTCACTCCTCCATCAAATTTCAAGTACAATAATTTTCATGAATATTACTGCAATTTAATCCCAACACCAAACCGTTATTTTCAACACGTATACACGTGTTTCAACCACCAAGTGATCATCTTCAAGAGGAAGATTAAACTAAATTACATATAATATTGTCCTTATTTATACCCTAGGTGCCTCTGCTAGGTACCTGCTTCTTAATTTTCTCAAACTAATTTTACATGTTGCCTTATCTACTGATCTTAAATCAATTTTACAATATGGCCTTCTAACAGTCAGATACATCTGATAATAAAATATTATTTCAACAAGCTATATAGTATGCTCTTAGGTATTGGTCCACAATCGTTATTCATAATATTATTATATTGACTTATTTCTACACTCTCATAGGCATCTAGATTCCTGTTGTTGTTAACTTGTTCAACTAATCTTAATGAACTAAAGTTTATGGAAAGAATCCATAGGGAGTCTATAGTCCCTGAAAGTGTTTTTTCTATAGATATCAAACTGTAATGAATTATTGATTGTTGTAGTAGTGAGATCCACGAAGTTGATGCCGTTGTTTCATTCAATTTCGACAGTGAATTTTATCTTATCTTGGATAGTATTAAGGAAATTCAAGAACTGATTTATCTGTCTCCTGAAGCCATCAATCGAACAAGTTCTAATAATTATTGATTTATTAATAATTGAGGAAAGTTATAAATTTCTATGATTTTTCTAATAGGTTTCTGAACTTTCTCGTACCCCATATTGCCAGAACAGACAAAAAGTTATAATCTTTATACTTGTTATGAAGGTTTTCAATAGATCAATAGATTCATTGCCGTCGATTTTTAAAACAAAATCATAGGTGCATGCACAAACTAATGGACGATTGAGTGTACTTTTGATTATTGTGATAAATGTGAACACAAATATTATGAATGATAGTTAACGAATAATTTACTGGAGAATTTAATTTGAATTGAAAGAAGTATATTTTCTGGGGATTTTTGGGAAAGAAAGGTTTTGGCTTTCTGCTTCTCCATCCTTTGGAAGTATCCCATATTTTTTATATCAGGATAGATAAGTATAAAGCCAAAACCTTCATTCATTTTATGATAGTATAAAATTTGTGTAACATTTTAGTTATGTTTTTTTAAGTTTATAATGAGTTGTGTATTTTATAATTTGAAAAATTAATAAAATTACTAGAGTTGAAATTACATTAAAATTTCAATATTCAGTATTTACAGATTATTTATAAACACTAACTAGGACGGTAAGGATGCTTAATCATGTTGAACAAAATTTTTAAGTAGGTCTTGACAAACAAAATGCATGCTATGGTAGTGTCAAGTTGTTGATTTACTTGTCAAATTTTCAACAGTTATTGTTGCAATAATGTTGTCTTTTCAGGAAAGAATAGAAATAGTTTTAATATGTGGTGAGAATACACCATACCGGCAAGTAGCCGGTAATGAACGGCATCCAGGAAAAAATGTACAACATACTACTGTGTCAAGGATAATGTCGAAATTCAGAGAAACAGGATCTGTAGCAAATCAATTTAAGAAAAACACACTCCAAGTAAATATGATGAGGAGGCCCAACTTAACATTTGTTTGAAAGTTACTGAACACGGGCAAACGAGCATAACCGATATTATAAAAAATACCGATGACAAGAGAGAAAGTGTTAGAAAATTTTTATTGAAGAATGAATTTTGGCCTTACAAGCCAAAATTTACTAACACATTAAAAGAACAAGATTTTGATGTTCGTTTGGGGTTTTCATTCTGGTTTCAAGGAGAGAGAGAAGAAGTTTCCGTATAAAATTTTATGGACAGATGAAGCAACGTTCTCTTCAAATGGAACGGTAAGTTCTCAAAATTGCCGATGGTGGGCCCAAGAAAATCCCAATTTCACAGTTGAATGTGGTGATCAGTATTCCTTTAAAACTAATGTATGGTGTGGGATACTTAACGACCAAATAATTAGGGAAAATTTATCATCTGCCGGTTATCTCAACCTTTTAAATAATGAGGTTAGTGAAGTTTTAGATAATATGCCTTTGAATATTAAATACGACCTATGGTATCAGCGCACCAATACATCACACGGTTGCTGTAAAACAGTCCCTCCAACAAATGTTCAGAGGCAAAGTTATTGAACGTAACTGGGAACACTATTGGCCACCTAGATCACCCGACTTGACGCCTTTAAACTTTTTCTTGAGGGGTCACCTGAAACAAAAAGTGTACCGAAGTAGACCATTTACTGACATACAACATCTGGAAAATACCATTCGCGAGTGCTGTGCAAATATAAATCCACGATTAATTAAAAATACAGTAACAGATGTCAGTAGAAGGACCATAATTTGTATTGAACGTGGAGGATGACATACTGAAATGTAGGCTATAAGTGTTTGACAACCTCATTTAGATCAATAAGTAATTTTTTGTACCCATTTGTATTTTCTATAATATTATTGTTGTTTAAACTTTATAATAATAATAATAGTTCTATCGAAATTATTTGCATTTTTTTTAGTTGCTTTGCTTTTTCGAAATGAAAGGTTTGTTTAAGAAAATAGCCAAGTGATTAAAACTTTGCATCAGTCATGTTAAAATTTTTATAGCACATTTTTAATTTCTCGCTAAAAATGTCCGTATAAGTAAAAATTCATCAGAAAAGTTAAATTCCATGATGAGTTTGTTATGTATACATGAATTGATGACAATTAACCGAACTTGTTTTTTAAAATAAAGGGGATATCTGTCAAAAATAAGCAAAACGTTAACTTTATCCTCGTTGCATAAAATTTGGCATATGGATATAAAATTGCCGTAGACACAACTTTTTCAAGTAATTTTTTATTAAATTCGATCTAGAAATGCACTTTTTCAATTTTTTTCAAAAAAAAAAGTTGAATTTGACAAACACTGAACGTCAGTGGGTCGCAGTTGGCCACATCATTTTAAGTTAAATTTGAAGCACAAACAAGTACCGAAGTTAAACTTCATTGAAACTTTTCGAAAAAAAAAGTTTCCCATATGGTGCGCACTTTAATGGTGACACTGTATATTAAAAAATGATAATAATGTAATTTCTTTTAATTTATCTATCAAGTCGATTCTCGTGTCATGAAAATGTATTCATTAAATTAGTTTAAAAACAAAATTTTAAACAAATGAATACATGAACTCAACACTCATCAACTCGCAGACACTCTTATAATATGGAAGACTGTGCTATGGAACATCACATAGAAATCGTCCATCATGCGCAACAACTTCCAACCGAAAACAAACAACGAAAATCGAATCATTTGCAATTTGCAAGGAATTAATTGTGTGTTCTGAATTTCATATTCGTTTTCTAGAAAACATTTGTTGTATGTAATATCAAAGGTGCGTTCTGTTTTATGTTTATCCTCATTACATAAAGTTATGATATCTTCCTGTGTTAAGCTCGGGATATCTTGAGGACTGGATGGAGATAACATACAACCTCATCACGTTTCGTCCTAAGGAATAAACGAGGGAAACTCATGGACGCAAAGCCATATTCTTACTTGGAACGTCCTACAATAGTAAACTGCGATTGAGGTGAGATATTCTTCGGATCTTATCTGGATGTCAGCAAAACATATTCCATCGGGAAGCTGACAATAAATGTCCTTGGGATGACGTGAGATCAATTAACTCAGGATGTCCTGCTGAGCTACAAAGGCTCTATTATAATATCCTGTAGTTAATTATGGAATTCGTTACGAGAATTGTAAAGGTTTAAATTTCTGAATTCAAAAGAATCAGTCGAGTCGCCCTGTAGGTTCATTATTTTATCAGAATATTGCTGGGATGGTGGGTTGTCTATTAAGCAGGAGTAAATAAAACCGAGGAGATTTTCACGGTCAGGATTTAAAAACGATTCAGATTAATATTTATCGTAAAGCCGACACGAAAACAAGGCTTTGGCTAGGGACCGTCCGAAACCTAAAAACATCTAAGGTTTTTTGGACAAGAATAATAAGATCACCTGTGAAAGATTCACGTCGAGCACTGTCCGACCTTTTATTCTTTATTTGGTGGTAAAAAAATCTTTCAAGGCATATTCATCTGGTAATTGGAGAAATCCTTCCGAAAAGCTATAGTTGCATCATACAAGTCGTTCTTTGAGATACGAGGAGACATTCTAGAAAGTACCAACGGAGAACCGTAGCAAGTATAAAAAATATCAAAAATGATGATACCGATGATATCGAAAAGAACTATGTACTTTTGTAGAAATAACTACATGCAAGAGTTGATGCTTCTCGTACTTACTATCAACTAGCATGCTCTCTCCACGGCTCCACCCTGTATCAGAAATGTTTATCTTACGAATGTCACTCGCCTCGCTGACAATCTGAAATATGTTTAATATAGATTTCTTTCACTATAGGTTTGCATACTGATTATTACGATTAGTTTAACAACAATAAACATTAATGTTTCTTTTGTCATTATAATAGCACGAATAGATTAAACGAAATAAAGCATCGTAACGCGATGAGATTTTCAACTGATCCGACGATCGGTTTGTATTTCCTCGATAACACGTTTGAACCGATTTCGATATCAATATCAATTAAGGAAAATTTGCATTATTAGTTGACCCTATGAGGTTGGGATACTACGGAGCTGAAAATCTCCATAACATGTTGTAGCGTGTTACTGAAGGTTGTTGTTAGTAGTGGTGTCCTTTTTTATCATATATTTGATTAAAACTCTAATGAGACATTCGAATTATCCCCTAGATGTGTTGAATTTGCATGGGCTCTTTTTCATTCCTGCAAATATGGAAGAAAACTCGAAGTTGAGTATATTCCAATAATATAAGTATCATTCCTGTGTCTTCACAATTCAAACCTTATTATTGTAAACCTCATCAATACCATTAATTGTATGATTTTCACTATAATGAATAGATTTTCATCATATGGATGAAAATCTATAAGCTAATAGTGAAAATTAGTGAACAAACTTCCCATGATTACTTAATCGAGCGTTCTCGGTCCCTTAATTTTCTTATTGTTCATCAATAACCTTCCTGATTACATAAATGA